TGTCCGGCGCCAAGGGGGACGACAAACCATCACACTCCATGTGCCCCAGTTTGTCTTCTGACCCTTCCCCGTCCCACCACTCTCGTCCCTACCCCGCCCCACCTCCCACAGGAGGCGGCGGACGCGGAAAATACAGCACTATAGACAGCGATTTCCCGAAGGCGTCTCTCAGGTTTCACGGAGCTTCTGCAGGATCTGCGAATCAACCCACAGGAACAATACCATCCAGCACTATTTCGACGACGGAGCTCGGCACCCAACGACCAGTACGAGACCCGCAATCTCACCGACCACTCTGCCGCAGCTCTGGTGGAGGAAGGGCAGACTACAGCAATGTCGACGGCGATGTTCCCGCATGCCTTCTTCACCCGCCAACTCTCTCCAGGCAGCCATCTCCGACACCACCGGCAACTAGCGACGACATCAGCAACAACCATCTCGTCATCATACACAAGAATGTGAGATCAATGGAGTCCGACGACCGCATCGAAGAACTTCTACGCGACGTGGGTGGCTACCATTGGGACGCCATCCTCATTAACGAAACTTGGAGGACAACACGACAAGAAATTTGGATCACAGCTGATGGGCATACCTTTGCAGGATCTGGAAACGACAGTCGGTGCCACGGAGTCGCCATCCTTCTGCACAAGCGATGGGGCCGATACATGCGGGAGTTCCGGGCCATCACTCCGAGATTGGCCACGATGACGCTCAAGAGAGGCCGAATTCGCTTACAGTTGATTTCAGCGTACTTCCCGCATACTGGGTACACTGATGTACACATACAACACATGTATGATGGCATTGGCGCTGTGCTCAAGGAAGCCCGCGTCAGCAAAATACGAACCATCCTGGCCGCAGACTTCAACGCGCAGGTTGGCGCACAGCGGCGGATCGTTGAACGGCCGCAAGACGACCAGACGTCCTCCGACGACGTCTCCTCTCGCTTTGTGGGCCCCCACGGCTTTGGCGACGAGAACTCCAGAGGTCAATGGCTACGACATTGGGTCACACAACAGAAACTCGCAATCGCGAATACGTTCTTCCGGAAACCCCCTGAGAAGCAGATCGCATACACCACGACCAAAGGCAAGCCACGGCAGTATGATTACATCCTTGTAGACAGAACTCTACTCCCTATGTGCATCAACGCCGAAGCCTCCAACATAGCGGATCTCAACTCGGACCACAAAGCCGTGGTACTCCACATTCGTTTTCCAATACAATCGAATGGAGATACCAAGCGCTCATCTCGACATCCGCCGTCAACCAAAGACTCCTGCAGCAAACAGTGGACGCGCGTCAACTTCGACGACTACCAGCAGCACCTGGGCCGCCAATTACAACCCGGGGCTTTGCCGACAGACCCTGAGGAGCTCTGCCACGCTATCGAGAAAAGCCTGTGCGATTCCATGACGCGTGGTGGTACTAAGACAGCGTCTACACAAACAGCTGCGGCCGCTGCCGCTCACAGCGTCGAGCAAGCTCATAACGACAGCATTGTTTCAGGCCTGATCAAACAACGCCAGAACATCCCAACTGCCGACACCGCCACCCGGAAGGCAATCAGCAAAGCAATTCGACAACAGCTTCGACGACAGAAGCGTGCTGACAGGAGAGATCGGATCAACACCATCCTGGAGCAGTACAAGGGTCTGAAACACATACGCTCCACGAAAACTAGGCGGAAGAAGACGCTGATTCTTGAAATGACCGGGACCGATGGCACAAAGCAGACAACGCGACAGGGCATCGCGGACACGTTCGCGGATTTCTATGCTCAATTGTACGCTTCTGACGCTCGCTGCACATCGCCAGCCGTGGATTCAGAGCCACAGCAGATCACACCTTTCACGACAAAGGAATTGAAGATGGCAATATCACAGCTCAAGGGCGGCAAGGCCCCTGACACGACAGGGATCCGGTCTGAAATGCTCCGACAGCCAGGCCCTGAGCTTGAGAACGCATTGTTGCAGCTGTACAACACGATCATACAACCGAACGCTCCGACACCAGCAAATTTGAGAAAAACTGTCATCACAGTGATCCCCAAAGCGGGTGATTTGACGAATCCTCAGAATTACCGCCCGATCTGTACAATACCAATGTTGTACAAGCTCTTCAGCCGCCTATTGTACAACAGGTTGTTGCCTACGCTGGATCAGCAACAACCTGACGACCAGGCCGGCTTCCGACCCGGACGGGGCACGCGGGACCACCTCTTCACGTTCAACATCTTGCGAGAGCGGGCAGCAGAACGGAATCAAACATTATGGATCGCAGCGGTGGATTTCAAAAAGGCTTTCGACACAGTGGAGCACGACAGTTTATGGACAGCGTTACTTCACCAAGGCGTGTCTTCTGGATATGTGGATCTTCTACGACGTCTGTATCACGACCAGACAGCTGTGGTCCGCACTGACGCTACTAGCAAGTCTTTCAACCTCAGCCGCGGTACAAAACAAGGTGACCCCTTGAGTTCACTACTGTTCAACGCGTTGCTGCAGCATGTGCTGAAACCGGTCATCCAGGACTGGCAGCGCCGCAACCGGGGCGTCCAACTTGGTGTTACGGATATATCAATACTGACGAATCTCCGTTTCGCCGACGACATCTTGTTGGTCAGCCAATCGCTGCCCAACTTGAAGGCCATGCTCTCCGACCTGATCGCCTCAGCCAGGCCGCACGGTCTGGAACTGCACCCCACCAAAACCAAAATCCTGACCAACCAGTCCCGCCACCGCGCACGCCTGGTCAGAGTCGCAGACATGGACATCGAAGTGCTACCACACACCGGCACTATCAAATACCTGGGACAGGCCATTACATTTCACGACGCCATTGCGACAGAACTCAAACACCGCATTCGTGCAGCGTGGGCATGCTTCAGTAGCTATCGACAGGAGCTCACCAGCAGACATTATCCACTGGGCAACCGGTTACGACTATACAGAGGAACCGTAATACCTACAATGACGTATGGCGCCGAAACGTGGACTCTAACAGAACCCCTCAAACAACAGTTGCGCAGAACACAACGTCGAATGGTCAGAATGATTATCGGAACGCCACGTCGGCGGACGACACCCTCACCCACACCACGCCCTAACCCAGAGACGAGCCAAAGCAATGGGCACGACACCGGCGACACTGTGACGACCGACAACGACACCAGCGAATCAGACGTATGCAGCAACCCACCTACCGACCACGACGACCCTCAGGACAACGACAGCGAAGAGGCGACACAGCCGGAAGCGGGGCCCGACGACGGTATAGAGCCATGGTCGGAATATATTCAGAGGAGCACACGGATTGCGGAAACAATGATGCTCAAGCACGACATACCCGACGTGCTACACATACAACGACGGATGGTTTGGCGATGGGCAACCACTGTGGCGAACCACCCCACGACACGCTGGACACAGCGAGCACTAGGATGGGATCCAAACACCAACGCTAAGCAACAAGGGTGGAGACGGCATGGAGGCCAACATAAACGTTGGGAGGATGACATCCGGAAGTTCCTACATACCTTAAACGGGAGTGCTTGCGACGACGACGACAGCGATGGGCAGGGAGACATTTTGGCAGCGACTGCTCCCCGACAACACGAACACAACAATACCAATGACTTGCGATGGATTCGGGCTGCCGCGCATACTGATTGGTGGAGAAGACATGAATCCACTTATGTTTCACAGCATTGAGTTGTTATTTCCCATATCGAGGCCACGGCCTCCACCGCCACGCCCGAACGGGCGCGCGCGGGCGCCCATGCGGCGCGCGCGCGGATCCGGCGTTCGTTCGTTCGTTCCCTATGGGACAACGAAACATGTGAGGGGTGTGCCAAAATAGGGTGTGGAACCGCATGCGGACGCAGCCACTTGGACATCCGGTGGAGCTCACTATGCCACCATGGAACGTGTGAGAGGTGTGCCGAATGGTTGACCTGCGAAGAGCAGAGGCAGAGAGGGGAGGATGAGAGGAGGGAGGAGGGGCAGCGGGAGTGAGACGCGGGGCAATGTGTCTTCAAAACGAGGACCCAGCACCACAGAAGGATTTCGTCGGAATCGCGATATTGCTCGGAATCCCCTTGCGATTAATGATGGGGTGAAGCTTCAGCGACCAGCCCGCTCGGCCCGGCCGTCTGGACCCGCCCGCCCTCTCTGCCCGTCAGGGTCCGCCGCCCACCCGACCCGCCCGTCTGGTTTTGCCGCTGTTCTCATGCTTTTAACCCTCCTCCTGCAGATTTCTCTCGCGCTCCATCTTTCTCCCTCATCCTGTCTCTTCCTTGCCCTGTTGTAGAGGCTGCGCGAACTACATGCGGCAGGTAGAGAAGAGATATGCCCCCAGGGGGGGGGCAGGATCGAAGACGAAAGAGGGCGGGTATCCAGGGTTTGGGGCATACGTGTTGAATGGCACGCGGGCAGATAGGAACGAACAGTCTTACAATGATGGCTGTTGTTGTCCTTGCGGTTTGTTGTGGTCGTCATGGCCGGCGACTCCCCCGCCACCCACCCGCGACACACGCAACACACCCCGCCTCTCACCCGCCACACACCCGCGACGCACCCCGCGTCACACCCAGATTTTTTCGACTAATAATGGGCGCCTGCTTGCGGCGGGCTCGATGTGTAAATAATGCTGCCCTCGCAGACTACCGACGACATCGCCGCCCCCTCACTCTTATCCGCGATTGCATGGTGTCACGGTGCGATTCTTTGGGCCAGAGGTTGGGATCCATTCGGCCTTGATGCCGCAGAGGTTCGGCGAGAGTCTGAAACTGGCGGCATTGAGGCCCCGATCGGTTTCTTCTTGGTCCACGTCGGGAGGGGGAGCACTGTGGAGGGCAGCGGCTGGGTGGGTGTGGGAGTTGAGTCGCGGGGAGGGGAGGCGCAGCTTCCGAGAGGGGGAGAGGGAGCAGTGGAAGGGAGTGAAGAATGGGCGGAGGAGCCAGAAGTGCAGAGAGGTGAGGTCGGGGGAGAGGGGAGGCCGTCGGCGAGACCTTGTCGGACGCCGTCGCCCACTGCGACGCGTACGACGCCGAGCCGGACCGCTGCGACTTCCTGAAAGACTTCCACGAGCAGTTCACGCTTGCCCCGTTCGTTGTCTTCGTCTGCACGACCGGCCTCATGCTCGCACTCGTCGTCGTAGATATGGACAGGCAGGCACAGATCGCCGACGTGTTCGCGTACCGGGAACGATCGCGATCAGGCCGGTTCTCGGGGCCGTTCATCACTGCCCTGGCGTGGCTGATCTTCAACCTGAGGAAATTCGTCTTGCCAGGTGCGGTTGTGTACGCGTTCTCGGCCCTCGTGTTGGCTGGCCCGCCCACGCCAGGCGTGTCACTGCCGGTGTCTTTCGTCCTCAACGGGCTTGCCGTGGGTTTCATCTATAACGTCGACAGCCTTCTGGCGCTGGCCTTCCTGGACGAGAACGCGCAGGCGCTCGTCCGCGAGGCCTTTGCCGACATGGAGGCGCACGAGGAGCTCGAGGGCAAGCCGGACGTGATGAACGCGAGGGTGCTGCCGTACTTCTTCCACCGTTTCCTGGCCGTGTGCTTCGTCTGCCTGATCATCCTGAACGTTCTGACCACGGAAGCCCTAATGGACTCCTTGAGCCTGTTCAGGCTGGATTGGGACGAGCTCCCGGGGAAGTTCGTGTCGAACCCCGTGGCGAAGTCGTGCACCAACGTCGTGACCACGCTGGGCACTCGCGGGCGGGAAACATCCATGTCCGCGGCCTCGTTGTCAGGCCTCCTCATCCCGGGCTCTGTGGATGCATGGCTGCGTTGCGCGGATGTTCCGCGCGGATCGTGCTCATGAAATCTCGCGCATCCATGGGATCGATCCTCGGTTCGTTGCGCCATTTCCGATTCCGCACCAAACCTCACGGTAGGCATTGGAGGTCACCGCGGCGATTGCGGGCAGCCCCGGAGGTCATGTGGGCGTCCGGCAGGACACCTCGGCGCGGGCTGCCTGAGTTTTTCCCGGAAAGGGCGTGGGCCCAGGGTTCTCTTTTAGTAGGTTAACCCCCCGGCCCCCCTGCGACTTGGGCCGGCGAAATTATATTCTGCGATAAATAACGAGGTCGCGTAGGGCCGGCGAATTAAAAATTGAGGATGTCTCGAGTGAAACGTTTGTTTTTCAGAATTCGTTGAGGATGTCTCGAGCGAAACGCTTGTTTTGTGTTATAGATTGTCTTCTCCTGGGGACATGGATTCGGAGGATCTCTCAAGTGAAATGCTTGTTTTCACGTGCCCAGGTCTTGAGGATGTCTCGAGCGAGACGCTTGGTTTCACGCCTCCAGGTTGCCCAGAGAGGTCTAGCGCCAGGATTTGCTGAGGATGTCTCGAGCGAGACGCTTGGTTTGACGCGTCCTCGTCGCCCAGGCGGATGTCTAGCATGAGGATGTGTCGAGGAAGTCTCGATCGAGACGCTTGTTTGCACGTGTCCAGGTGGCACAGGCGGATGTCTAGCATGAGGATGTGCTGATAACGTCATGAGCGAAACGTGTGTTTTCACGTGTCCAGGTCGCCCAGGCACAGCACAGCCCTCGGCACGGTACATCAACATCGATACCCTCAGCATTGCAGCCTGGCATGCTGCCTGGCACGTTCCGCGGAGCGTCCCGTGGCGAGTCCACCTGGCACGTCGCGCGGTGCACGTCCATTGGCACGTTCCGTAGCGCGTCTCTTTGGCACGTCCCGCGGTGCGTCCCCATGGCACGTCCCCTGGCACGTCGCCTGGCGCGTCCCTTGGGACGTTCCGCGGCGCGTCTTCCTGGCATGTCCCCTCTGTTGATTAGCTTTGGGGCAGCTACCATCTGCTCAGGCAGCTCGAGCTTAAGATCCAGATCAGTTCGGTCAGGACTCGGTGGCAACGAGGACTCGATCCACAACGCTATATATATATATATATATATAGAGCACAATCGCGGCATGGCACATCGCAGTTCAGCACGGCCAAACACGGCACAGCCTTCGGCACGGTACATCAAGATCGATACACTAAACATTGCACCTTGGCACGTTCCTTGGTGCGTTCCGTGGCGAGTCCACCTGGCACGTCGCGCGGCGCGTCCCCTGGCACGTCCCGCGGCACGTCCATAGGCACGTTCCGCAGTGCGCCCCCTTGGCACGTCCCGCGGTGCGTGCCCATGGCACGTCCCCTGGCACGTCGCCTGGCGCGTCCCTTGGGACGTTCCGCGGCGCGTCTTCCTGGTATGTCACGTCTGTCGATTAGCTCTGGGGCAGCTACCATCTGCTCAGGCAACTCGAGCTTAAGATCCAGATCAGTTCGGTCAGGACTCGGTGGCAACGAGGACTCGATCCACAACGCTATATATATATATATATATAGAGCACAATCGCGGCATGGCACATCGCAGTTCAGCACGGCGTAGCACGGCACAGCCGTCGGCACGGTACATCAAGATCGATACATTCAGCATTGCATTTGCCCGTCGCCCAGTCAGGTGTCTTTGAAACGTTGCCATGCCTTACACTTCTATATTCCTTTCCGGGTTCGTGGGTCGATCATGTTTGAAGGGGCCCCAGGACACACAAATAAATACACACAAATAAACATATTCCGCATATTTTCCTATATTTTCAGTGTTTTTGTCTTCCCCCCACTTCCCATATTTTCCCATATTTTCCTGGGAGTGGACGATTAATTGTGTCTGTGTGTTTTTTTCCCTCTTGATTTTTGGTGGGTCCCGCAGGCTTTTTCTGAGCGGTTCCCAGCACGGGTGCCCGGACGCTCTCCGGAAGGTGCTTCGTAAGTTTTCTCCGGGTCCTTCCAGAGTTCTTCGCCAGACGTTTCCCCGCCCTTCGACAAGTCGGGGCACGGTCAACAGCCCCTACCCAGCCCCTCCCCCGCTCTGCGATGTGGACGCGTGGGCCATGATAATGTCATGCGATGGCGACAGGGAGTTGGCAACTTGTGCCCAGCGTGGGCAGTCATGTGTGTTGGTTAGGCGTCGATTCTCACGCAACCGTCGTTGTCCATACCGCGCGAGGGCATGGCCGTGGATATGTCTGATGGAATCAGCTCGGCATCCGTCCCCAGACCCCTCCCAGAGAGCGGTGGGCAAGTTCTCGTCCTAGTTTAAGTTTCACGGTTTCGGGGCCCGGAAACGGACCCGAAACACCGAAGACAAACACATACATCTGAGATGTCGTGGTGCTCCTTTTCTATAATTGTTTTGTCGATCGGCGCGGGTCCTCGCACCCTCTCCCCCCAACCCGTGGAGTAGATCTTGGCTGTTTTTTGGCGCCTGTTTCAGGCAGGTGGAGTCTCCACCATAGGACGCACTGTTGCAAACAGTCGCATCAAGCAGAAGTCTGCCTCCTCCTGCTCCTCCTCCTCCTCCTCCTCCTCCAACGCCGAATAAGAAACCGTCCACGTGATTTCCCACATCGTGGGCTCGTCGCCCGCGAGGCACCTCCACAATCATCGTGATCACCTTCGCCGCCGTCCTCTGGAGCGTCACCCACCAGATCTCCGCCAGCTGCCGACGGTGGGGCCCCCTCGACGTGATCTTTGCCCCGCTGGTTGCGCTGCTGACCATGCCGGTGCTCTGGGGGGGCAGGAATAAAAAAGGTCACGACTGAAGGTTCTTCCTAATTTTCGACCCTTAGGAGCCCTCGCCGGTCCCCGGGACCGTCGCAAAACGGCTGAGGTTGAAAAACCGGTCCTGGGGAATGGGTCGAAAATCACGACATCGGAGCTCTGCGAGAGACAGGGGTCAATGCAAACGGGGGTCAGCCAGAGAGCCCGATCTTGCAGGATCCTGCAGGGCCAGGGTCGCATTGACCCGGGCTTGGGCGCAGGATCCTGCAGGATCGTGCAGGATCCTGCGCATTGACCTAGGTTTGGGAGCAGGATCTTGCAGCAGGACCCTGCAGTATTCTGCGAGGCCTGACTGACCCGGGTCTGGATTGACCCGGGTCAGACGATCCCCGAAGGAGCCCTGATCCTCGCGTCGCGAAGCTCAGCAAAGGGAGAGGTACCCATACCGCTACCCTTCGCCCGTTTGCCCCCTTGTAGGGCCGTCTCCTGAGTGGCCCTCGTCGCCACCGCCAGATCTGCTTCGAAATCCTGGCGAGGACGCACCCAAGGAGAAGTCTGGGGGTGCAGGAGCCTTGATTCGGACGCAACCCCTGGGAGGTAAGATTCTGCCTTTACCCTGGTCCGAAATCCGGGCTAATCGAGCTCAATCCCGCTCACTCCGGCTTACTTACCTCGCTGAATCCGCGGCCCAATTTGGCGTACCAGCCCCTGCCAATAGGGCTTGATCTGCCTTGATCCTTCCGACGAAGACCTCCCATCGGGCCCGACGAAAGGGGGGGATTGGAAAAGGGGGGGTTACGAAATTTGCTGCATGCAGCTGGTATCGGCCTCACCGAGGGGCCCATTCCTCGATACATAGCTCCATCCGGCGCCGGGAGGCGCCGGTAAAATCAGCTACGTGAGCTGATTCTCAACCCCCCCCTTTGCCCTTTCGCCCGACCCGATCCCAGCAGTTGCCTCCTGACCCTGACAGCCTCACGCCGCGAAGCAATCCCAAAGCGAAGATCTTCGTCGATGGTCGGCCCTGGGGGGCGCCGGCCGGCTATGGGGGGACTGGTCTGAGCCCCGAGGCCAGCAAAAGCAGTTTGAGATGAAGATCAGGAGGGGAAAAACATACAGACACAATTAATTGTCGGTTCCTCAGGAAATATGTGAAAATATGGGAAGTGGGGGGAATACCAGAACCCAGAAAATGTAGGAAAATAGGGGGATGCTGTTATTTGTGTGTATTTATTTGTGTGTCCCAGGGGCCCGGTGGGAAGGAGTCTAGACGTCTGCGGTGGCGCGTTGTGCACAACAAAGACGAGGTCGGTTGATTCGAGGATAGAAGCCCGAATCGCCTCGGCGGGAAGAACACTGGTCCAGGACGGAGGGAGAGAAGGAGAGAGAGAGAGAGAAAAACAAATATTGAGTCAAGCATCGTGGAGTCATATACATTGGTCGACATTATTTATATGTAGTGTATGCAGATACAGACATATAGAGGAGAGAGAGAGAGAGAAACACAAAGAGAGAGAGAGAGAAAACAAACAAAACGAGAGAGAGCGAGCGAGAGTGAGTGAGCAAGATACAGAGTAGGAGCAGGGGGAGACAGAGGATAACGACGTGGGTTGGGGGCCGACAGCGGGGGGGGACGGGACAAGGGGTAGAAGGGCCTAGGACGAGGACAAATCCGTTCCAGAGCGTCCCCGAAACGCTTGCAGAGCGTTCTGGAACACTCTGATAAGGCCGCGACGCCCGATTCATCCTCACCCGATTTGGTCCTCGTCCTGGCTTCGCCTTGGGCGGGGGGGGGAGGAAGAGGGTCGATGATCCTCAGGACGTGTGTTAGCCCAATGTGTGTTGACCTCGTTCGTCCTGTGTCGGCCATCATTAACGCCACGTGCGTCGTCTTGGAGGGCTCCGATGGACCAGCACACGCTGGCGCTAGCACACGCCCTGAGGATCCTCGAGAGGGGCAGCGAACCCAATCCCAGGTGCTGTCCTACGTCCTCCTGCAGATTGGGTACGCCTCGATCGGGTGACCCGGGCGGCTCCCCGCCGGCGGGCGCGCGCCCGACGCCGCACCCCTCGGCGGGCCCCCGCAGCCGGGGCCGCGCACCGCGGCGCCGTAGGCAGGCGCGCTGCGGGGGAGGCCTCGGGTCGGACGAGGCCTCGGGTCGTGCGCGCGCCGCGACGAGCAGCACACCTCGCTGCCGGGAGGTGCTGCGGCCCACTCGCAGCCGCCGGAAGCCCCTCGCCGGGGCCCCGGGGCCGACGGAGAGACGACTTGGGCCGCAGGAGGAGGAGGAGGAGGAGGGGGAGGAGGAGGAGGAGGAGGAGGAGGAAAAGAAGAAGGAGGAGAAGAAGGAGGGAGAAGGAGGAGGAGGAGGAGGAGGGAGGCGGACGAGGAGGGGGAGGAGGAGAGAGCGAGACCACGGAGCTTCACACGACTCAGCCTCAGCAGCGGGACTTCCAGGGACCGCGTGTGGAACCAATCGGGGCGGACGTCGCATGCCTGGGGGGGGGAAAGGACCCGGAGCGTCGTGGGCGCCACACGGTTTTTTGTCGAGCTGGGCGTCTTCGCCCAGTCTCGGGCCCCGGGCCATCACAGAGCGATCCGGTTCGAAGGGTGCGGCACGAAGTTTGAGCCAGAGTCGGGAGATGATGGGCGTGTTCTCCACCACCACCACCATGGGTGGGAGGGGGGAAAAGGAGGAGGACGAGGACGAGGAGGACGCAGAGGAGGACGAAGAGGAGGAGGAGGGGGAGGAGGACGATGAAGAGGAGGACGCAGAGGAGGACGAGGAGGACGAGGAGGAGGAGGACGACGAGGAGGAAGAGGAGGAGGAGGAGGAGGAGGAGGAGGAGGAGGAGGAGGAGGCGGAGGAGGCGGAGGAGGAGGAGGAGGAGGAGGCGGCGGAGGCGGAGGAGGCGGAGGAGGAGGACCCCCTCCACCTCCAACCCATGGGACATCTTCGGAACGCACAGCTGGTCTCGGCCCAGCCGCTGGGCGCCTTCGACGGTCGGTGCACGCGGGCGCCAACGGCGCCGAGAGGCGCCAGGGACCATCGGCCGCGCGGGCTGATCAGCTCACCCTCCCTTGGCCCCCCCCCCTCTGCTGGGCCTGCTTTCCACCACCACCATAAGTTGGAGAGGGAGGTGGTCCTCCTCCTCGTCCTCCTCCTCCTCTTCCTCTTCGTCCTCCTCCTCCTCGTCCTCCTCCTCCTTCCCCCCTCCAACTTATGGTGGTGGTGGTGGAAAACAGGCCCATCGTCCTCTTCTTGTCCGACCTGAGAGGCGGGGGACGGTGGCGAGGAGACCATCTCAGACTTCCCACCGCGTGCACGTGCCGTCGCCCTCACCGCCGGCCAAGTGTTGTCGGCCGTGTGGTCTTCCGTGCCCTGGGCGGATAACGATTACAGACAGTGCTGGTTTCTTGCTGCGATGCTCCAGGCCTGCCAAGAGGGGGTCCGAGCAGAGGTGGTCGGAGGACGGCGCCGCATCGCCGACGCATCGCCGATCCGGCTCGATGCGGAGCCCGATTTTCCCCGCACAGGCGTCGCCGATGCGTCGCCGACGTCGGCGATGCATCGGCGATGCATTGGCGATGCGGCGCCATCCTCCGACCCCGTGTGCTCGGACCCCACTTGGGAGGTCTCTACACGCGCCGTCGATGGTGCTTCTCTGCGCGCCTGTGCTGTCTCCCTCCTCCCCGCGCTCCCCCTCCCTTCGTCTCCTGCCCGTCTCCCTCGCCTCCCCCCGTCTGCCCCCTTCCCCGCCCTCCCTTCTCCTCCTCCCCGCTTCCCAGTCCCTGCACGCCTTCGTCCCTCCCTCTCCCTCGTGACCCCTTGCCCGCCCCCCGTTTCGCCCCGAGTCTCCCGTCCTTTCTCTTCCCCCCTCCCGTTGCTGCCCCCCTTTTTGTTTGGGCTCTATTTCTTTTTAAACCCTGGCCTCTTGTTTGTTGTCTTCTTGCCTGTCCATTTGCGTTTTGTTTGTCCGTCTGCATGTTGTCGTTGGTCCGTTTTTCTTGTTTGTCCGTTGGTTTTTTGAGTGAGAGAAAAAACCTCGCGGCCCGCCCGCCTGCATACCGCGGCCGCCAGATCCCCGGACTCCCGTTGAAGCCTGGCGGTCCCGCCTCCCCCCCCCCGCCCTGCATACCCCGGCCGCCAGAGCCCAAGGTTCCCGACAATCCCTGGTGGTCCCGCCCCCCACGCTGACCTGCCCACTCTGCACGCCGCGGCCGCCAGATCCCCAGGTCCCCCACAGAACGGCGCAGAACACCACATCACCGAACAGAACGCATCCGAACACAACATACCAGCCTATATGACCGCCCTGCGGGCGAGAAGGAGGTTTGGGGGGGATTGAGATCAAATGCCCACCCTGACTGACCTCCAGCCTGTCACCTTGATCTCATATCTCTCATTCTCTCTGGCTCTCTCTTTCTCTCTGTCTCTCTCTCTCTCTCTCGCCCTCTTCATTTTGTTCTCTCTCTCTCTCTCTTCCCCTCTCTAGCAGAGTCTCCCTCCACCACAACGATGATCGCGATGACGATGAGATCCCACTATCTACCTATCCGTCGACCGACCTATCGGTGAATCTCACTGTCGATCTCACTATCGAACGCCGAACGCTCGAGCCTCGCAGTCTGCCGCGATCGCGCCCATGCGCCGACAAAAATGAATTCATGGATTGGGTTGGGTGGGTTGGATTGGATGGGGCAAGATGGAATGGATAAGATATGGTGGGTTGGATTGGAAGATATGGATTGAATAAGATAATACTGATTGGATGTATCCCCGCAGGCGCAGAAACAAATGAATTGATGGATTGGGTTGGGTGGGTTGGATAAGATAAGATTGCTTGGATTGGACTAGATGGATTGGATCAGTTCAGCCGGATCGTAGAAGAAAGCCCGCCGCAGGCGCCGACAAACATGAATTGATGGATTGGGTTGGGTGTATTGGATTGGATGGGAACAGATGGATTGGATAAGATATGGTGGGTTGTATTGGAAGTAATGGATGGGAGAATCTATGATTCGATGGATTGGATTGGCCCGCCGCAGGCGCAGAAACACATGAATTGATGGAGTGGGTTGGGTGGATTGGATTAGGTGGGATAAGATAAGATGGGACAAGGTGGGTTGGATAAGATAAGATGGGCTGGATTGGACAAGATGGATTGGATAAGATAAGCTGGAATGGATAAGAAAGCCCGCCGCAGGCGCCGAAACAACTGAATTATGAAATTAGCGACATGCGTTAGCACCGGGACGCCCGGGACACCCGGGACACTCGGGACACGGGACACCGCCCGGCCCAACTGGGACACCTCCCGGCCACCGGCGGACGGGAAACGGACTTTCGCTCCTACTGAGACCCGGGACACCTGGGACACCGCCCGGCCCAACTGGGACACCTCCCAGCCACCGGCGGACGGGAACGGACTTTCGCTCCTTTTTCGGCCTAGTTACAGTAGGATCACGCGCAGGTTCGCCTCGCCCGCACGCACGACACGAACACGAAATCGAAACCGATTTCCCGGTTGGGGGTCTCCGTTTCACTGCGATCTCACCCCCCACTTTCCGATCAACAGTGACCATATCGCAACGTAACACAACATGGTAGAACAGTGCATACCTTAGCTCAGCACCACTGCACACATCGTTCCATGACATGTCAAACCACACATACGATACAAATTCAAATCAACGCAGAACTGCCAACAGGGAGCGTGCCACATCATCGCATAACATGACATAGCATACCACAACACAGCATAACAGTTCATGCTATGCCAGATCGGAGCATGCATCACATGATACAACAGGGCACCACATAACGTGGCATAACACTGGCCGAGACCACCGCGCCCCGCGCACTTCGTTCCAATGAACGCGCGCACCTTCGGGATCAAACGCTGAAGGTTTGTTTCGGTGGGGATCGCCCGAAACAAAATAATTTCAGCGTTTTCAGTCCCGTCCTCCCCCGCTTCTGCGTCTGTCCTCGCCTCCGCCGCCGCCCCATCCCTCCTTGCTTTGCTGCCCCTCGTGCGTGTTGAGGTACGCATCTGCACGTGCTGTACTCCCGCCTCCTCGTCCTCGTCGTCATCCCTCCCCCTCCCCCCCTCCCCTCCACCAGTCGTCCTGCACAAGCTGACATTGCCCCCCGAAGTCGAATTGTTGGCCCTCCCTCCCCTCGCCCCCTCTCCCCTCACTCTGATCCTGCTGGTGTGGCCGCTCCTCCATTTCGGACACGAACATCCATCCACGAGGGGCCACCAGGATCTGGGGCAAGCAGAACGAGCTGGTGCTGAGGCGTCGTTGGCTCGTCAGCCTCAGGACTCCTCATAGGCCCCTCGAGGAATGGATGAAGGAGCGTGTCGGGTGGTGCGACATACCCCCCCTCTACTACAGAAGTCCACGTAGAGAAGATGCCACATCGCCGAACACACTAACTATGTGCACAACATGTGGGCCCATTGGAGCGGGCCCGCCCCGGAGCTCTTGTGGCCAGGCGCATAACAGACCTGGCCTCCGGGACAGAGCGGGAAGAGGAAGGGGCAGCCCAGACTTTGCTCTCTCGCCTGCCCCCCGCCCTCGAGACGAGGAATGCAAAGGGCCTTCTGGGTCACTCAGCCACGCGCAGAGGGGGGTGGAGGGAGGGGGGAGGGCTCCTCAGAAGCGCCCCTGCTTCTTGAAAGGCTCTTTTGTACAGATGTAAGGCCCGCGCCTTCTCAGAAGCAGCCTCCTTCTAAGAAGCCCTCCCCCCTCCCTCCACCCCCTTGCGCGCACCGCCAGGTCACCCCCCGGGGGCGAGAAGAGACTCGCGCTTCGCGGCTCGGGCTCAGGAGGCGCCGGTCTCCGGGGCGGCGGCGCAAGAGGGCGAGGGGCCGCGCGCCGCGGCAGCGCGCGCCGCGGTGCGCGAAGGGTTTGGCGACTTGGGGTATCAATGACACCAGGGCTGGACCTAAACTCAGTATCGCTTAACCGACCTCCACCCCCATCCCCATCCCCTTCGAGACCCCCGGTCAAACGACCCCCCCGACTTGGGGGTGCACCCCCCGAAAAACCCGGAGGGAGCGACGCATATATCCCCAGTCTAGGGGGGGGGGGCAGCTCGGCCAGTGGGGCCCAGGCCCCGATCTGGGGATGGGGATCGGTGAAACGATATTCTCAGAGCCAACTCGATGACTCGATTCTCCTCCTCCTTCTCCTGCTACTCCTCCTCCTCCTCCTCCTCCTCCTCCTCCTCCTCCTCCTCCTCCTCCTCCCTCCTCCTCCTCCTCCTCCTCCTCCTCCTCCTCCTCCTCCTCCTCCTCCTCCTCCTCCTCCTTGCGCAACGACTGCACCCTCGTGGCTACGCCTCTGCCCGGATGACTCGGGCGTCCAAAGCCCCGAATCGTCCGGGGTAACTCGGGTCAGGGCCAACTCGGGTTCGATTTTTTCGGGAATCCAAGCCCGAGTTACCCCGGACCCGAGCTACCCCGGATGACTCGGGCGTCCAGAGCCCCGAATCGTCCGGGGTAACTCGGGTCAGGGCCAACTCGGGTTCGTTTTTCGGGAATCCAAGCCCGAGTTGCCCCGGACCCGAGTTGCCCCGGATGACTCGGGCGTCCAAAGCCCCGAATCATCAGGGTTAACCCGGGTCAGGGCTAACTCGGGTTCGTTTTTCTAGAATCCAAGCCCGAGTTACCCCGGACCCGAGTTACCCCGGATAACTCGGGCGTCCAGAGCCCCGAATCATCAGGGGTAACTCGGGTCAGGGCCAACTCGGGTTCGTTTCTCGGGAATCCAAGCCCGAGTTGCCCCGGACCCGAGTTGCCCCGGATGACTGGGGCGTCCAGAGCCCCGAATCATCAGGGTTAACCCGGGTCAGGGCCAACTCGGGTTCGATTTTTTCGGGAATCCAAGCCCGAGTTGCCCCGGGCCCGAGCTACCCCGGATGACTCGGGCGTCCAGAGCCCCGAATCGTCCGGGGTAACTCGGGTCAGGGCCAACTCGGGTTCGTTTTTCGGGAATCCAAGCCCGAGTTGCCCCGGACCCGAGTTGCCCCGGATGACTCGGGCGTCCAAAGCCCCGAATCATCAGGGTTAACCCGGGTCAGGGCTAACTCGGGTTCGTTTTTCTAGAATCCAAGCCCGAGTTACCCCGGACCCGAGTTACCCCGGATAACTCGGGCGTCCAGAGCCCCGAATCATCAGGGGTAACTCGGGTCAGGGCCAACTCGGGTTCGTTTCTCGGGAATCCAAGCCCGAGTTGCCCCGGACCCGAGTTGCCCCGGATGACTGGGGCGTCCAGAGCCCCGAATCATCAGGGGTAACTCGGGTCAGGGCTAACTCGGGTTCGTTTTTCTAGAATCCAAGCCCGAGTTACCCCGGACCC